GTATGGCGAAATAGTAAACTTGTTATTATTTGTGTTTATCAATATATCAAGGAAGGGGATTTTATCATTAGTATTGAGTTCATATGTGAATTTAAGGACAGGATTATTTTGGAAACTTTTTTGAAGTTGAAGCATTTCATCTGTATTTTTAACTAACATAAGGATATCTTCAACATACCTTCGGTAGATGGATGGTTTTTAAAATCTGTAAATATCTTCGAGGTTCGACATATAGAAATTGTTAAATGTCGGACCCAGTACTGAACCCATGGAAACACCATGACGTTGTATATATATATATATATATATATATATATATATATATATATAAAATTTAATTGGTAATCCGTATGGGTAGTGCCAAGGAGGATGAAATCCCGAGAGCTCAATGTAAATCCAGAGCTAATATTTTAAAGAAAAACAGACCACTTTAAGGTTCCATTATAATAATTTATTTCACCACAGCCCTTTTAAAGGAATCTGGATCATCAGATAGCACTTCCAAAAGATGAAACGAAACGAAATGAAATGAAAATTTATACTTTTGATGGCTAGTGTAAGTTTTTGTAATTTAACAGAGGTGGTAATGAGGGGTGGTTTGAGAGACATGGTCGAGTTTAGAGGGGGTTTATTTAATATTTCTTTCAATCATACTTAGTATTGGGGGAGGAGGGACCAGACTTTGACCTATTTAAATGGTTAACTTAACGGAAGTGATATATTGAAAAGGGAGGGAGAAGAGAGAAAAAGAAAAAGAAAAAGAAAAAGAGAAAGAAGGGGAAAAAGAAAAGAGGCTGTAAATAGGTTTCACGTAGGAAGAAGAGGGGTGGTATAGTTTTAGCAATTTATGTAAAAAAAATAGATTTTAATGTTTGATAGTAATTTAAATGTCTAAAAAAAAAAAAACAAAATTAATTTGATTCTTGCTAGCAATTTAAATATCTAACTCTTTTACAAATAATTTAGGGATTTAACATAAGTTAAATACTGTATTTATTAACACATTCATAGAGAACACATTAAAAAATTTTCTTAAAAATATAACAGTTAACCGATAGTAATCTTTTAATATTGTAAAAAACTGTTATGGTAACATCTTTATCAGTTTGAATAGTAGTACAAGCTAATTGTAGTTTCTGTAATATATTAGGATTAATTTTATGTGCGGGTAAAAATGAGTTACTCTATATAATTCTTATAATTATGTCAATAGTTTCACTAAGACGGACATTGGTAAATAAGTTTCAACATCAAGTGAAGCCATGATTTCATTGTTGGTTTTTTCACTTTTTAGGATTTGGATTACTTCTAATGTTGACTTAACACTATATTTACTAAGAAGGTAGGGAGTAATAAGTTGGTTAATGTATTTTGTTAGATGATATACAGGAGTTGAAATTTGCGATATGATAGGACGGAGAGGATAGTTAGGTTTATGTGTTTTTATAGTGCCGTATATGTAATCAGGTCTGTAATCACCAACAATTTTAGGGAGTTTTAAAGAGTTCTATTCAGTATTATTAGCATTAATAAGTTTATTAAGCTTTGATTTTAGTTGGTTGGTCATGTTCTTGTTGAGTTTTTTAAACTTTTTGTGATCATGGAGTATGTGGTCAATTTTTATTTGCTGTAATCCAATTTGTTTAGGATGACAAAAATGTTGGTCTTATCAGCTTTTTTTACAATAATGTCAGCGTGGTTGCGTAGTTCTTGTGCTGCAATTTTTAGTTATTTAGAAAGCATTTTTGAAGAGTTTCTGCTTTTATCATGCCGATCCTTGAATGCCTCGGCCTTAAGTAAGTCTTTAAATTCTGGTGTTGTTTCTATTAGTTGTTCATCCTGGAGTTTGACAATGTTTTGCTATAGGGTCTCAATTCCTATTTTTTTAAAAAGTCGTTGATATTTACAGTATATATGGAAGTTAGGTCCAGTAATTCTTTTTGGTGCTTAGTTAGTTCATAGTTTGAAAGGTTAATGAATTTATCAATTTTTTTAGGAAAAGTGATAGTACCTTTGTATAATATATTCAGTTTTTTTTATAAATCTAAACCGGTGTTGAGCTTCAGATTTATTGGTAATTTCCATGAGTCTATGCGTTATTTCCTCCAGTTGGTCCGGGGATATATATATATATATATATATATATATATATATATATATATATATATATATATATATAAGTGAACATTGAAGTTAACACTTTACAGGCGACAGTCTGTTTTATATAGACACAATCGTCAGGCCATATATTTTTGCAAATCGCTAACGGGGGAGTGGGAAGAATCATTGCGAATAATTGAGTTGGATATACTAGATTTAGTGTAGTATATGATTAACTTAATTTTTTTGTTAGGATCTGTTGGGGATATATTAGTATTTACCAATGTTTTTAGTATATTTCCATCTTGTTTATACTTAGTATGCATTTGATTACAATATAGGAGATGAATATGTTTGGGATTAGATGAAGCAGTATTATGTTCTATTTGCTTATTTGTTCATCAACTATATAATTTGCAAAGCTATTATTAATAAGTGTTTGTTTAGTTTATATTCATTAGTTCAGTGTAAAAATCTGTTTTGTGGATGAAGTAGTTTCTGCGCGATGTATTAGATTTTTATAATTGCTATTTTGTAATAATATGGACATTCGCTCTTGTAGTTAAGTGTACACGAATATATATATATATATATATATATATATATATATATATATACAGGGTGTCCTTAAAGTGTCTTTAGAATTTAAAAATATATTATAAAAGCCAGTTAATGAGAGATTTTAATCAGATTTATTCTATGTACTCAGTAGTTATCAAAGTTATTAATCCCATTGCATTTGTGTATTTCAGGGTTCCTGATGATGTAAGAGGTACTGATAAAGATGGTTAGACATCCGATTCCTTCGAGCCGGGATCGAACTCAATCGGATGTCTAGCTATATTTATCAGTAATTCAGATGTATTCTATGTACTCAGTAGTTATCAATGTTTTTAATCCCATTGCTTTTGTGTATTTCAGGTCTCCTGATGATGAAAGAGGTACTGATAAAGATGGTTAGACATCCGATTCCTTCAAGCCGGGATCGAACTCAATCGGATGTCTAGCTATATTTATCAGTAATTCAAATTTATTCTATGTACTCAGTAGTTATCAAAGTTTTTAATCCCATTGCTTTTGTGTATTTCAGGTCTCCTGATGATGAAAGAGGTACTGATAAAGATGGTTAGACATCCGATTCCTTCGAGCCGGGATCGAACTCAATCGGATGTCTAGCTATATTTATCAGTAATTCAGATTTAGTTTATGTACTCAGTAGTTATCAAAGTTTTTAATTACATTGCATTTGTGTATTTCAGGTCTCCTGATGATGTAAGAGGTACTGATAAATGAACCCCTAACATTTCCAGACCAGTGGATTAGAAGGGATGGCCCAATTCTCTGGCCACCTCGTTCACCAGATACCCCAACCCCCGACCTTCTTTCTATGATGTTATGTTAAAGATATCGTCTATCGAACAAAGATATGGGACCTCACTGATCTAAAGCCCAAAAATCATTGATGCTATTGCCACCATTGATGATGATTGGCTATGCTACAATGAACCTGGCAAGAAATCGAGTACCATCTTGATGTGCTACCTGCAACAAATGGTACTCATACAGAGGTGGATTAAATTAGTTTAAAAAAAACTCCAATATCTACTCCTCATTTTGTAAAATGTTCCATATGGTGAAAGATCTGGAGATTGAGGGGGCGGGCAAGATTTGCAAAATTCCCTTATCTTCCTTTGATTTTAGATAATTTTTACGCAGTTTTGAGCTGTGTTTTCAACCAACATCTTGTTGCAAAACAAACACTTGTCCAGTAATCCGGCAGAAAAAGGAATTTTTAGGATCTTTCTTAATGAACTTAGGGAAAAAATTCCAGGTGATCCAAAATATTGATCAGTAGTGCATATAAAACCCCACATAATCACCTAAAAGAAACAGGATGAGCGAATAGGTGAGCGGTTAACGCCGTAGAAGGTGAAAACTCCAACCCGGGTTCAAGTTCTCTTCGATTCTGCGTTGTTCAATTAATGCCGATATCATTGGAAAAGGCATGAACCCATTTCCACAGTTATGGGTTAAACCACAGCAGGGCGAACTGAATTCTTTTGCCTTGGATGTCAGCCAGTCTAGGAAAAGGAAAAATCTGAATACAAGCATGAGGGTTATTTGTAGACTTTGCAGCACACCTCGTACCATTCTTCCCAAAATTGTGTCTGATTCTACACAAGTCATTATCATTACTTACAGGATTTATAAATTAAACAATTGTCCTCATCTTTATTGTTGTGATCCCAAAATCTTGGTTGTTATTGTTCGCTGCAATGTTCACTTATATATATATATATATATATATATATATATATATATATATATATATGGTGCAGATATATATCTGTTTTTTGTATGAATGATTCATGTAATATATATATATATATATATATATATATATATATATATATATATATATATATATAATGTTTATTGTTAATTGTAACACATTTCTAAAAACATTTTTCGTATTACATCTATATTTTCGTTGTCCTGTTATTACCGAGAAGTAAAAAACAAAAACAAATCTATTTCCATACCTGAGGATGTCTGTAGGAACAGACGAAAGCTTGTAAAAAATAAAAAAAGACCTTATGCAACTGGAATTTATAAACAGGGATCATAACATTCATATACAGGTTCGGGGTTAATGTACTTTATTAAATTTGTTTGCGAAGATGGATTCTCGCCATTTATATCATTAACTTCTATATCTGGTTTTTGTATGAATGATTCATGTAATATATATATATATATATATATATATATATATATATATATATATATATATATAACCTGACGATTACGATTAGCATGAAACGGTCCGTCGCCTCTGAGTGTTGATTTCAATGTTCACTTTTATATTTACACTCGCTCTATCTCTGATATTGAGCACTTTATCCCATAAATATAGTGTGTGTGTGCATGTATGTATAGATAGATAGATAGATAGATAGATAGATAGATAGATAGATAGATAGATAGATAGATATGGACATATTGGGATATATAGAGAGCGAGATATATAGATAAAGAACAGACTGAGATAGATAGATAGATAGATAGATAGATAGATAGATAGATAGATAGATACGGACATATTGGGATATATAGAGAGGAGATATATAGATAAAAGAACAGACTGAGATAGATAGATAATAGATAGATAGATAGATAGATAGATAGATAGATAGAATGAATATGGACATATTGGGATATATAGAGAGCAGATATATAGATATAAAGAACAGACTGAGATAGATAGATAGATAGATAGATAGATAGATAGATAGATAGATAGATACGGACATATTGGGATATATAGAGAGCGAGATATATAGATAAAGAACAGACTGAGATAGATAGATAGATAGATAGATAGATAGATAGATAGATAGATACGGACATATTGGGATATATAGAGAAACAGATATATAGATAAAAAACAGACTGAGATAGATAGATAGATAGATAGATAGATAGATAGATAGATAGATAGATAGATAGATACGGACATATTGGGATATATAGAGAGCGAGATATATAGATAAAGAACAGACTGAGATAGATAGATAGATAGATAGATAGATAGATAGATAGATAGATAGATAGATACGGACATATTGGGATATATAGAGAGCGAGATATATAGATAAAGAACAGACTGAGATAGATAGATAGATAGATAGATAGATAGATAGATAGATACGGACATATTGGGATATATAGAGAGCGAGATATATAGATAAAGAACAGACTGAGATAGATAGATAGATAGATAGATAGATAGATAGATAGATAGATAGATAGATAGATAGATATGATATATACGGACATATTGGGATATATAGAGAGCGAGATATATAGATAAAGAACAGACTGAGATAGATAGATAGATAGATAGATAGGAAGTAATGAACTTTGATGCATAGATTGATATGAATAGGCACCTCGGCGTCGTGTAATGGTTAGCAAGCTTTTCTCGCTAGATCAGTTACTATTGAAAAGTGACTTCGATCCTCACTAGGTGCTCCATACTTTCGGCCTTGTGCCACATCTAAGCTACGTTTAGAAAATAGCCATTGACTGAAATAGATAGCTATTAACGAAATACAGTATATATGATATTAGATCCGTTTGTGCTTCAAATAGACAAACCGGAACGATTATTCTATTTTGGAAAAAAAAAATTAATTCTTCCCACTTCTTTTTATTAAATACTAGCAGTAGAGCCCGGTGTTCCCGGGGATGTAACAGTAAGAGATAGATCAAGTATCGACCATCATAAAGACTAAAAAATAAAACTGACAAAGATTATTGTTTCAGGTTGACGGACACGCATGTCTTAATTATTTTTTTTCCTTTTTACGAATTGGTCAAACCCAAACTCAAACAAAAACATTGTTTTCAATCGTTATGAGTCTATCGACTGAATAGAATTTTATTATAAACAATTGCCTTGTAAATGGAATTTTTAAAGCATTCTGAATTTAAAAATAAAGAAAAAAAGTGTGCAAGACAATAAGAAACACTACGTGCCAAAAAAAAATGTAGGAAATCCGATCCCATATATAAACGAATACACACACACACACACAAACAACCAACCTGGGTTTTATAATAAGTATAACTCGATATGAGTTGTCCCCCTTTCATTCTGGCGAATCGTGGTTTATCGTATTTCAAAATTGATCTCGTGCAAAAACAATTGTTTTTACAGTTTTTGGCGCTATCAGAACCACCGCAAGGTAATTTTACGTAGTCCTGTGAAGTTTTGTTGAAATCGGTTGAAAAATGTAGGAAATCCGATCCAATATATAAACGTGTACACACACACACACACACACACACACACACACACACACACACACACAACAACCTGGGTCTTATAATAAGTATGATTTATCAAATTTTCTTCCGACCGTTAATTTAGGGTGAGAGCATTTTAGGAATAAGCGTTTCATTTGATAACTTAATAAAAGGGGTGGATTATAAAATTAGTAACCTTAAGTAAGAAATGTTTAAATTTTTTCCATAAAAAACAACCTTTTTTAAAAAAATTTTTCAAGTGGTTTTAAATTTTTGATCAGGAGTGTACATACGATAGGTGTCTTGTTTGTTTTCTTTTCATCTTCGGTTGAACAATTTGAGTCCGCCATTTTTCTTATAGTTGGACCTCCTTCTAGCAGGAATAAACAGAACGTGTTTCTAATTCAACAACACTCAACCCACACGGTCCTCTACAGAATCACAGAGATAGATTTCTAAGGGATATTATATGACCCTTAAAATCGCTAACCAAATCCTTAAGTTTTTACCTGGTATCAACTCCTGGCGTGCAGGTAATCTAATTATATGCGGCAAAACCGACGAGCAGTTTTCGAATTGCGGTCAACTTCACTACGTTTACTTTTTCCCAGATGCCTCTAGCTAAATAGTACGAACCATTCACACCTCTCCACCGTCTATGGGTTAAATAGCAGATCAAACTGGGTTCTATAGCTTTGACTGGTAATCAATCTAGGAGAATTCTTAATTCTAATCACAGTCCCCTGAAGCTGTACAAAGATGGCTAGACATGGCTTGCGGATATTAAGCCTGTAAAAAAAATCATCGTAGATTTTATCAAATGGAAAGAGATTATCCAGAACATTGTAGACACCAACGGGCATTGAACCCAAGGAAAGATGGATGGATAAATTCTGGTTCAACTATTCCCTCTATGCGTGAGATTTGACTTTTCGTATT